AAACTGGCTCTAAGTATCAAAATTAGAACATGAAAGAAACAAAAGATCAGTGGGTAATAAAAAGGGACTTTTTGAAAAAAGGAATTCTTAACAATAAAAAAATGAGAATCTTGAAAAATCACATTTCATAAAAAATCAACATGTTGAAATAATATCTCTATGATAGTAACATGTATGTCATTCAAAACTATAAATATACTTCAATTTGATTACTATTGGAAACTTTCAATTTTGTACAAACAAACGAGAGAGATCCACTTATGAGCGGAAGAATTTTCTCTCTCACATGTAGTGCTTTTAAGTATTATATACTACGGATTAGGAATAAAAGATAAACTTGCTAACAATTTTATCTCTCATATGTATTGCTTTTAGGTATTACAGAAGTCGGCTGACAATTGAGCGACATAATTCTCTCTCTATCATATGTAGTATTTTTAAGTATTATTATGTGTAATTTCCCAAAATAGGACTACACAGAGTCTGAAATTCCAAAATAGGACTGTTATATTTTTCTTCCCGGAATAGGACTAAGATGACATTATTTACTGTTATCTTTTAGACATGACTGCCAAATAGTTGTAGTACTATGCATTCAACATGGCAGTATTTATTATAATTAATGACAGTAGTTTTCAATCATGACAGCAACAACTCTTATTTTGGAAAGAATAACATAGTGGTCCTATTTTGGAATTCCCAGAGTTGTTTACTCCTATTTAGAGCAATTTCCCTATTATTATTATGAAGTACAATTGAACGGGAGAACTTTCTCTCTCATATGTAGTTCTTTTAAGTATAAGATATAAGATAAGTTGACTAATAATTGAGTGGGAGAATTTTATCTCTCATATGTAGTGGTTTTATCCTTTTAAATATACGAAGATAATCTTGCTAATAATTGAGTGAAAGAATTTCTCTCTTTCATATGTAGTGCTCCTAGATATTAGAATATAAACTTGCAAACAGTTGAGCAGGGAAATTGAGCAGGGTAGTTTTTCTCTCACATGTAGTGCTTTTAGGTATGAGAAAATAAGTTTGCTAACAATTGAGCGATAAAACTTTCTCTCTCATATGTAGTTATTTTTATTATAAGGCAAGTCTGCTAACAATTGAGCGGATGAATTTTGTCTCTCATATTTAGTGTTTTTAGTTACAAGATAAGCCGGCTAACAATTGATCGTTATTTTTTCTCTCATGTGTAGTGATTTTAGGTTAAAGAAGATAAAGTTTCTAACAATTGAGCATGATATTTTTTTTCTCATGTGTAGTACTTCCAGGTATTACCACATAAGCTTGCTAAGAATTGAGCGGGATAATTTTCTTTCTCATATGTAGTGCTTTTAGGTATTAGGAGATTAGAAATAAGTTTACTACCAATTGACCGGGATAACTTTTTTTTTTCTCAAACGTAATTCTTTTAAATATCCATATAAGATAAGTCGGCTCACAATTGAACAAGATAATTTCCTCTCTCATATGTACTGTGTTTAAGTATATGAAAATAAGAAGATAACATTCCTAACAATTGAGCGGAATAACTTTATCTCTCATATGTATTTCTTTTTAAATTAGTATGATCATCTGACTAACAATTGAGCGGAAAGTTTTCTCTCCGATGTGCAGTGATTTTAGATATATAAGAAGATAATACGGCTACAAGTTGAGCGGGAGAATTTCTTCTCTCATAAGTAGTGCATTTAGATATAAGAAGATAAGTTTGCTAATAATTGAACGAAAGAATTTTCTTTCTCATATGTTGTGCTTTTAGGTATTAGAAGATAAACTTACTTACAATTGAGCGGAGGATTTTCTCATATATGTAGTGTTTTTAAGTACAACATATAAAATAAGCCAGTTGGCTAACAATTGAGTGGGCGAATTATGTCTCATATACATACTTAGTTCTTTTACGTATAAGATAAACCATTTAACAATTTAGCAAGATAATTTTTTCTTTCATATATTAGCACTAATTTTAACGAATGAGTAGCAAATCTTTATTTAAGTAATATCATTAATTTTAATATTTATTGTATTCGCTTCATGTCACTAACTTATTGTGATCACTTTTTTAGAATAGTATTAATTTTAATATTTATTGTAATCATGAAAATTAATAAGAAGCAAATTCTAATGAGTGGTGTCTGTTAATTTTCCCTAATATACTCTTCATCGAAAATGTAGAAATCTAAAATGTTTTTTTTTTAATTTTAATATTTAATTAAATCATGAATAAAAATATATGCATCGACTGTTTCTTCCCGTGCGTATGCACGGGTACTATACTAGTTTGACAATGAAAAGGGATAAAGTGAAGCATAGTCTCATGAAGCGAATAGCGGAACTCCACAAACGAGTTAGAACGAGGAGGGATAAAGTGAAAAGAAGTTTGAGGATGTTTTTTTTAATTGAATCTGGGCAGTGCGAGCTATTCATTTAGATGTAGCTAGGTGTTTTAAGACCATTTTTTTTTGGAAGGTTTTAAGACCATTTTTAATCGCTCCAAATGTACGGAACAAGAATAACCCTCTTTAGCCATAATATGCAGATATTTCTGTTTAGATTTCATTCATACGTCGTATATTAGAAACCTTCTGCCCAACAGACTCATCAGTCATCACCCTCAAAATTTAACATATACTACCTCCGTCCCCCTAAGTTTGGAACAAAGGAGTGTGATGTGGTTTTTAAGAAAAAGTAGAATGGTGTGGTTGATATTGAATTAATAAAGTGAATAAAGTAAGAATAAATTGTAATCACTCAAATATTATCAAATATGGTATGAGACAAACTTAATAGGACGGACGAAAAAAGTAAAATAGGACAAGAGGGTAACTCGTTTGAAATGACAGGACCTTATAAAAGAACACCCACAATTGCCCTTACCTTGTATTGTGAAGTAGCGAACTATTAAGGGAATTGCTTGATAAATGTAAAATGGAGCATCACATCTCGGGAAAAAGAGACTCCAAAATTGCATTTGTAATTGTACATGACATTGTTTGAAAATTGGACATAAGTGACATATCAAGATTAGTCGTTAATGTAAAGGGTAGACTATAAGTGATAATCCACTACTTATAGTGACCTATAAGAAATACATATTTCTAATATTATTTTCACTTATGATTCCCGATAATAATCTTGACAATATCAAGATTAATCTTATATTTATTTTCTTTCATTTAATTTTGATGTAATTTGATTTATTGATTAAAAGTATTTGATATCATAAGTGATTTGGAAAGTAAGTTCGGACCGCGCTTCACAGACAAAAAAAACTCTCACAGACACATGCGTGTACTGATGGTACAAAAACGTGTACACAAGGAATTTTTGTTGAGACTAATTATGCTTCCATATAGATCTCATAAAAGGCACTTGACTTGTACTCCATAAATTACTTACTTACGTAGTACTCCCTATTATATAGAGTCGACCTAAAGTGTTGACTTCTATTAAACTATATAGAATTGCTTTTTTAGACTGAATAATACATCAAAATGGAATATACTTGGTAGTTGTAGGGCTGGATTCGGTTCGGGTATCCTTTGTTACCAACGAACTACGCGCTCAGTATGTCTAGTGATCTCTCCAAACGTAATTGTACCTTTTGTAAACATAATTAACTACGATTAGTACAAATAATAAAAATTATTATTATTAATAAAAAATCAGTTCGGTTCGGTCCAACCCGTTTTTTTGAGTTTATAAACCAAGTCCGAACCAATTTTTGTTCGGGTCCCAAAATTTATCACTTCGGTCCGATTCGGGTTTTTTTTAATGTGGTTCGATTTTTTCCGGTTCAGTTTTCGATTTTCCGGTTCAAAATGCCTGCCCTAGTAGTTGGTGCAATACTACAATGTATATCCTATCATGTACGGAGTTTGTTTTTTTATGGTTCATTTATGGAGTATATGACTTGCCAAAATGAACAATAAAGCTTTGTATTATAGATTTCATTTAAAAAAGTTAACCAACCCAAATGTATTATCGTTAGGGTTACAACTTACAACTAATTACTCTCTCTGCCTCAGCTTTAATAAAACTTTTCACATGTCTTATACATCTCATTTAAAAGTTAGCATTTGTATTTTAAAGATTAATTAATTATTTTAAATGACAAGTCATTTTTAAGCATTTATATCTCCTCATTAATGCGTGCAACACATGAGCCCAACATTTGTGAATGAGTAGATTGAAAGTCAAATGATTTTATAATGAAATGTGTAACATTGATGATTTTAAAATTTAGATGCAAACTGCAAAGTCAACTGCAATTTTCTGGATTGATTTGGTTTAATTTAGTCTGATTTGTTTAACAATTTATATGTATTTTATAACTGACAAAGTATAATCTAGCATATTTAAGGGTTGGTTTGCAACTGCTTTTAAAAAAAGCACTTCTCAGCTTTTGGCTTTAAAAAAACACTTATTTTCCCAAACACTACAACTTTTATTTTTCTCGGCTTCCGCGTCAAAAGTATTTTTACTTTTTCTATTACACAAAAAACACTTATTTTACCAAACACTACCCACTTTTACTTTTCTCAAACACTATCAACTTTTATTTAATCACTTCTCTCCATTTCATTAAAAAAACACTTTTTTAAAAGCAAAAGCTGTTGCAAACAGATCCTAAGTATGGTCTAACTTCTTCTATTTAAGTGTGATTTGGTTTGTTTAGTTGACTAAATAAGTAAAAAAATTAGTCTCAAGAACAAAAGTGAGCAAACTTTTGAAGTTAACTAACTCTCAAGTCTCAACGCACGGAGCCAATGAGTGAACGCAAAGGGGGCTTGAGGAAGAAGACAAAGAAGAGGGAAGAGGTTCCTTCCTTCCTTGATGGCTCTCTCTTCTCTTACCCTCCCGGGAATCTCCCCCGACATCAGAGAAACCCTGCCTTCAGCCCTTCACTCAAGAATCACTGAAACCCAATTCTAAAAGCTCAATCATCGGGAGATTTTCTCTGTAATTTTTTCCAAGAAGAAAACGAAGGGGTGCCTGTGAATGATGATCTTCTAAATGGTGATAATCATTGTTGCTTGGACAATTTTAGTGTGAAAAGCATGCAACCATATGGGGCAAAAACCTTTAAAGAGAGCCCAAGGGTCTCATTGTCCTGTCCAGTCCCATTCTCACCCAGGAAAAGCTCTCCCTACAACAAGCTTCCGCAGGTGCCCATCAAGCTCACTGTTCTTAAATTGGATGGAACTAGTTTTGGTCTCTCTCTTCTCTCTTTAACTCCTCCTGCATTTTGTTCCTTACCATCTACCTCGTATATGTTAAAAACCATTCTTTTCTGGATTTTATAGAGATATATGTGATGAGGAATGGGACTGTAGCTGAGCTAAAATTGGGGGTGGAAGCGGCCTTTAGTCATGTGCCCAAGAATGGCCCAGACGCAATCTCATGGTATTTATACATGTGCAGCATTATTGTGTTTTCCTTTACAGACAAGTGTGGAATCAAATTTTCACTTATGACATATGTAGTATATTTGTTAGCTACATTTGTGTTTGAACTGTTAAAATACATCCAGGTTTGGGTTAGATGTTTGGATTTGTTCTGTAAAAGTCTTCTGATTTACCAAGTAGAGTCTCATTTATGAGTCCTCAGAAGTAAATGAATTAAGTATGAATTGTGAAATGTTTAATGTTTTTCAAAGAAACAACTTTATGTTTGGATTAGATCCATTTCATGGTTAGGATCCATAGTTGAGTACTTCGGAAATTGGCAGGTTAAACTTATTGTCCTGTATTGGAAGTTGGAGGTGTTCTGAACCTAGATGCACTTTACTCCTGTGCCATTAGTTTTATGTAACCAATTTTTGTTTGCATTTGCTGATTTGTTATTTTATCTGTTCTGGCAATTGTCTGGTTTATCTGATTGGTTTGTTTTGAACTCGTGATCAATCTGCCAATTTTGAAAACCAGCTGTTGATGTTAAATTTCCAACAGATTATTGGAGTTGACTCTTCTCTGACCAATAAGCCTAATCAGATTTGAATTTGTCTGTTAGAGACCTCCAAGAAATCAGAAATTTACAGAAAGATTAACAAGAAAACAGATGAACACTTTATTGATGATGATGAACAATTACAGATGAGAACGAGAAATTCTGGCCGAAGCCCCCAATGAGCCGAAGCACCCCAAAGAAAGAGAATAGCTCTCGATCTTCCCAAGTCCCAAGACTATCCGTCTAAAAGCCTCCTCTACTAATTCCCCTTCCCGTCTATTTATAATAGAATACTTACAAACACTTATTACTAATATTATTCTTATTATTTCTAATAATATTCTACTACTCTAATAGGCTGGTTCCTATCAATACTTCCCCCCTAAACATCCACCTTGCCCTCAAGGTGGGCGATAGGAAACCGCAAAGATCTTTTGCTTCTTCTTTCTTGCTCCTCTACCTTCCCAATACCTAACTGATTGAGGAGCCATGAACTTCATTGCCTGAAGACCCAAAGATGTCTGGCAGCTTACAAACCCCACCACCAATCTGGATTCTGATGCTCTGTGCTGCCAGATGTATACTGTGGTATTGCTAAGCAAAGGAAGAGCTGCACATAGATACTCAGCACATTGATACTCAACTATTCTTTCCAGCAAATAGGGTTCCACTTCTATATTTCCAACATCTTCACCTATCATCCATTGCTCACTCTTCCATTTGTTAATAGCTCTGGCTTCAGGATATAACTCAAGCCCTTGAGTTTCAGTTGCTCCATTCCTTGATATTGCAGCATTCACAACAGCCAACTGAAACTGGTAGTCATCAACTCCACCCCCATCTGGAATAAGTAAACAGACCTCTGGCATTTCTCTAACCTTTATCATATCACTCTCAGTCAATCCTACTCCCAACCCCTTTCTAATAGAACAACTCAGAGATGAAACTCTTGAGATACATTGATCATTGCCCACCATCACATAGCAATATCCACCATCTTGGTATGCATTCTTACTCCAACCTGAGTAATAAAAAGGAGCCTTTTCTTCCCGAAAATTGGACCAAGAACTCAAGCCAGAAGACAAAGCATTTGGGTTCAATTTCAAGACAGCATAGGTAACAGTTTCATTTGGTTCAGCCTTCTTCCAGCCTTCCATAGCAGAAATTAATTCATTACTATTCTGCAGCTCCTCATAGTTTCTATCTTCTGATACTAGTACAGTATTGGCTGCAAAATCTTTTTTGTTCCTATCAACTTTTTCCTCTTTTAATTCCTTACCTACCTCATTTGAAAAGGAAAGTCTAAAAGGTTTTAGCAAGCAAGTAAACTGATTTACTCTTCCCACTGCAATTCTCTTAACTAAGGAACAAAAAAGATTATTTTCCAAGTAAAATTTCCAAAGTTGGTGTCCTAGCAGGTAATCAGATCTACCACCCAAAAAAGACATGGTCATTTCCAAATTAAGTATCAATTTCATCTTTCCTTTGGTTTCACTATTTTGTTCCACCAAATTTCCCACTGCCTTCTCATTTAAGAAATCTGCGATTCTGAACTCTCCTGATGAAGCCTTAGGACTACCCCCTCTCCTGACATCAATTTTTTTCACTTGGTGTGTCATGTCTTCTAGTCCAAGAGTAAGACTTACTTCTTCAATCAAAACATCCTTTGGAGATGAGTTTAAATCTGAATCCACATTTTCCATTCCTTCCAAATTTTCTTGTGTACTGAGACAAGTTGCTGCAGGTCTGACAGAAACAGTTCCGGATTGCGAACTGGAAACTTCATATCTGGATTGCTTCTTAAGTAAACTGGTAGTAGCAATTGAAGCCTGCGAACTAGAGGATGATGTTGGTGATGACTTTTGCGAACTGTAGGAAGTTCTTGTTGATCTCGATGATTCCTGTCTTGCTGTCTTCCCTGTCTTCTGCCGGTGTCTAGGTGGAAAATGCTTAATCAAATCTTCTTTTAGAGCCTGCCAACTATCTTCTCTCTTTTGAAAATCCCACCATTGAAACCAGCCATCTGCGGCTTCCCCCATTGCCTTTGCTGCTACATCCACCTTAAATCTTTCTGCAATAGCTTTGACTCGGAAATATCTTTCCATCCTCCCTATCCATTCTATGTTTCATGCTCGTAGAATAGAGGTAATTCTTCCTCCTTTGAAATAGCTGACTTCAGAGAAACTGCTTTAGAAGAAGAATAAGAGTGAAATTTCTCTGGTGATAAAGATGATGACTCTCCTCTCACTCGGGTCTCTCTTGAACGCGGACTAGGAGTCCTCCTTAGCGACTCAGTCTGCAACTTGGTGAGCGACTGCGATGAATGATGCCTATGGCTCCTTGTTGGAAGTGCGATGTTGTCAACCTCTCCCTGATGCGGAAATCGATGCGAGGTGTGCGATCGATTCCTCGATCGGTCTTCCGATGCCTCTGAGTTAGTCGATTTTTGCTTATGTTGATGACGTGACTCCTTCTGCGAGTGAGAAGTAGGTCGCGATTTCATCGGCGACTCCTGCGACGAGTGGGGAGAGGAGCGATGCGAAGAGCTAGGGTGGGATGAGCGATGCGAAGATCGGTGCGAATGGTGCGATGTATGTCGCGAACGACTTTGAAGTCGGTTCTGCCAATCTGCGATGCCAGCTTGCATCGTCGCTTGCATATCAGCCATCATCGTCGCTAACCTAGCGTTTGACTCCCTCATCAGTCGGTCAATATTATCAAAACTCTCTTCCATTTGAGGTGTCATGTTGAAATCCTCCTCCATGCTTCAGATTCTCCGTCTCCAGGAAGTAAGGCTCTGATACCAATGTTAGAGACCTCCAAGAAATCAGAAATTTACAGAAAGATTAACAAGAAAACGGATGAACACTTTATTGATGATGATGAACAATTACAGATGAGAACGAGAAATTCTGGCCGAAGCCCCCAATGAGCCGAAGCCCCCCAAAGAAAGAGAATAGCTCTCGATCTTCCCAAGTCCCAAGACTATCCGTCTAAAAGCCTCCTCTACTAATCCCCCTTCCCGGCTATTTATACTAGAATACTTGCAAACACTTATTACTATTATTATTATTATTATTATTATTATTATTATTATTATTATTATTATTATTATTATTATTATTATTATTATTATTATTATTATTATTATTATTATTATTATTATTATTATTATTATTATTATTATTATTATTATTATTATTATTATTATTATTATTATTATTATTATTATTATTATTATTATTATTATTATTATTATTATTATTATTATTATTATTATTATTATTATTATTATTATTATTATTATTTCTAATAATATTCTACTACTCTAATAGGCTGGTTCCTATCATTGTCTTAAAGTTCATCCATATGTTTGCCCATTCTAACTGGATTTGATCATATGCAGGCCACATGTGTGGGCAAGGTTCTGCTTGAGCTATGAAGGAGAAAAGCTACTGACTGACATTGATTCTATAGAAAATTATGGAATCAGGGACGGTGATCAGGTTTGCTTTCAGTATACCGGCTTTTCTAGTTGTATAAAACTATAAAGGAAAAATTGATAGTAATAATCCGAACTATTAGCGGTCCGCCCATAATAATCCCAAATATCGATTATTTCAGAATAATCCCAACTTTAGGTACCTTCCGCCAATAATGGTCCCTATAAATAAATTCTTGTAGTTTTTAAAGTGGATGAGAAGAGATATAACAAGTAATCCTTATGAATAATCCTAACTTTAAATTTTTACGCTTAATTTCTATTTAAAAATCACTTGTTGTAGGAGATATTATTGAGATAATATTTGGTCATGGACCATTATTGGCGGGCGGTCCATATAGTTGGGATTATACAAAAATAATCAATAGTTGGCATTATTGTCGGCGGACCGACAATAGTTGGGATTATTATTTTCAATTTTTCCAACTATAAATTGTACAATAAAACTGGTCTGATAAGAAATTCTAATAAAACTCCAATGTGCATCTGTTGGATTTGTAGCCCCTAATTGAAGTTTTTTGGGTTAACTTTATTACAATTTCTATTTTACATGTATGCTTGAAAGTTGAAATATAAATAATATGCTGGTTGCCTTGAGAAAAATCATCACAACTTGTTAAGAACTTGTTCCCCTTGATTCTCAAATATGAAATCTTACAGATTTACAGAGCATTGAGTTTTTACATACCCCCTCTGTCATATTACTTTCCCTAGTTCGTAGTTACTATAATACTATCCATTGGCCAGACTGTATTTCTCCTCTTACTTGGTTTTATTTCAAATTCTTTTTTAGGTAAGCAGTCATGTAACTACTTATTTTACACTCCCTCCGTCCCAATAGTCTTTGCCAATTTTCATTTTTCATAGTCCCAAAAACTACTTATCCTATCATTTATATATATATATATATTATCTCTATGTATATTATCTTTTTTATCACAGTTTATCTTTCTTATCTTTCTTTTCCTTTTGGCTCCGATATCATGTATCGATTTATGTTAGTCAACCCTAAAATCTTTTCGGACTAAGGCTTGGATGTTGTTGTTGTATAGTCCCCAAAACTTCCCCAATTTTCCTGATAATTTATTTGTAGTTCTACCTTTTTTTTTCCTACGCAGAAACATTAACTCACAATTTTTACTTTCTTATTTCACGTGCAAGTCAAAACTTACAATCTCTGGTGGGACGGAGGTAGTATAACTTTTGATGTAGCTTCCAAATAAGGAATTACTGCAAATACGGGTATAACATGAGTCAATGTGCACAAATATGACCATCATTGCTCTTTTTAAGTAAAAGATTACTCATTTTAGTCCTATAGGCTTAAACAAAGAATAAAGTAGTTAGTAATTATTTTTCTAGGATTCAATGAGTCATTCATTCTTTTAAGAAAAAATAATAGTAAACATATTTGTAGAAATGTGCTATGTTTTAGTCCTATATATGATTTTTTTCTTTTTTAATATGTGAATTTTAATTTCTTATCACACATTATTAAAAAGAAGGAAATGGAATCACCTTCTGCCTTTCCTCTCAATCAGATTCTTAAAAACTGTTTTTTTGTTATAATAATGTTTTTTGCTTGTTTTCTGTACTTGATCATTGCAGCTTGAATTTATGCGACATGTTTCCATTGCTTATGCTGCAAAGAAGCCCAAGTCAAGTCCAAAAAGAGTGGGCATTTACTTGGATGAGCCAAGTGAGTAAGTTCCTTCCTGCCTTTTCATTATTTCTTCTACTAACTCCGTCACACTCAACTTTGCCAAGTTGATGTTAGGTGTGAAATTAGAATAGTAAAAACTACGTGATTGAGGTTTGTGAAGAGGAGAGAAAAATGAATAGAGTCACAAATTCATTGCTTTAAAAGGAACAAACAAAAAAGGAAAGTTGGCGACGTAGAGTGTATCATAATGAGATTATTATAGCAAAAAAAGTTTTCTGTGATTAAAATAATTTATCGCATTGCTAAAACTGCATTTCATCAAATGATCAATTACTCATCCCACGGGTGTGCTGAGTTTGGATCAATTTGAAACCGCTAGTAGTTTTATTTGATTGTGTCTAAATCTTTGGCTACACAATGATATTGTACAGATCCAGAGGGAATGGAGATAGGAAGTCCAAATACAAAGAAGAGAAAAATAATATGGGAAAGCTAGCGAGCAAAAGAGTAAGTGTTGCATGTCACTGCCAATGCAGACCAATTATGTGGCTAAAGAAGTGGTTCTCCTACCACAGAGTTTCTAGATCTGTGGTGGCGCCGAAGCACCCATGGATCAATTTTCGGAAAGGATGGAAAAAGGATGGTTTCCCTCTGTTGGAAAAATGATGAACATGTCTTAAAGAGAAATTTGGAAAAGCAGAGTGGTAGAATTTTGTGGATTTGCACGAGTGCATCCAAGTTCTGATGCTGCATAAAATCAATCATTTTCACACTTTTCTTTTTGAACCATCTCAAAACTATCTCCATTTGGAAATGCGGTTTATATCATTTTTCACGGTTCATATAGTTTTCATTTTATTATTTCATCGTGCGCAGTCAAGGTAGGTGTTTATGCGGAAGCTGCCGATATACGTGTATAAAACACATAAGTGTTACAAAATGTATATGTGGTTATGAAACGGGATTATGTCATTTATGTCATACTCCTTTTTGTGAGAACTTTTGTAGCTTTAATTTGATTGGGATCCTCTGCCGCACGACAGAGTGCCTTGTGGCGGGGAGGCCGTAGGATGGGAAAAGTGGAGCCTCCGACCGTTGAAATATTGATCGGACGACTCCCGAAGGCCGGGCAGAGTGCCTTACTCGGAAGTAAGGCAGAGAAACCGGATCCGCTTTAATTGTAGTCCAACTTCATAATCAGGTGTTACGATTAGGCAAAGATAAATGATAAATTAAGAGCAAGAACACAAGAATTTACGTGGTTCACACAATCGGTTTGATTGTGTTAGTCCACGGCGAACGAGAGAGGATGTATTATTATCAGCGTCCCAAGAGGTTTACAAGTACATAAGAGTCGTTTAAATAGGTTTAAGAAAACTTAATCAGAGATTAGAGCCGCAGGCCCTAATTAAAATCAAGCCCGTAATTAAAAAACCCGTAGACCCGGTCGGGTGCCCCCCTTGACCTGGTCGGGTCTCTTCACAAATTTCACACCCGGGTCGATACCAGGGCGGGTATCCAAAACAGAAGGTGAAACCTTCGCTGACCCGGTCGGGTCCGTCTCCTGACCCGGTCGGGTCTCACATTCCAGTGAGTTCCCAGGTCTCTGGTTCATCATACCCGGTCGGGTGACTTGATATACCCGGTCGGGTCACTGCATTAAAAACCAAAACAAGACTCCATCTTCAACAATCTCCCACTTGGAGGCTTGGTCAACAATCATCTGCCATCCAAGAACATGTATCTTCTGTAAAACCCCTGATCTCTCTCTCTCTCGTCCACGCCTTCTCATCAAGTATCTGGAAGGCCCGTTGAAGCCATGCATAGCTTCAACTTCTCCGTTGTCACCGCCTTGGTAAGGCAGGGTAAGCATGTCTGCTGGATTCTTCGTACCAAGGATCTTCTTCAAACTTATAGTACCATCTTCAATCAATTCTCGAATGAGATGATACCGCATCTTGATGTGTTTCGTTCTACTGTGAAACACCGGATTCTTCGCGAGATGAATAGCACTCTGGTTGTCACAATATAGACCGCAATCTCCCTGCTTCATGCCCAACTCTGAAAGAAAGTTCTTCAACCAGATCAACTCTTTGGCCGCTTCAGCAATGGCCATATATTCTGCTTCTGTGGTTGAAAGAGCTACGCTCTTCTGTAGTCTAGACATCCAACTGATTGCCGTACCTCCAATAGTGAATATGTAATCCGTAGTGCTCTTCCCGGAATCATGATAGCCCCCCAAATCAGCATCGGCAAATCCTTCTAGAATTACGCCATTCTTCCTGAAACATAGGGCAGTTTCAGAAGTACCTTTCAAGTAGCGTAACAGCCACTTAACTCCTTCCCAATGTTCCTTCCCTGGATTTGACATGAACCTGCTAACAACTCCCACTGCATGAGCAATGTCCGGCCTTGTTGACACCATCGCGTACATCAAGCTGCCAACGGCTGATGCGTAAGGAACTTTAGCCATTTCTTCTTTGTCTTCATTGGTCTTTGGAGACTGCTGCTTGGAGAGTTTCAACTGACTCCCTAACGGTGTACTCCTTGGTTTGGCATCCGTCATTCTGAACTTCTCAAGGACTTTCTGAATGCACTTCTACTGTGAAAGCTTTAAAGTACCTTCCACCTTGTCTCTGACTATGCTCATCCCAAGAATCTGTCTCGCCTCCCCTAAATCCTTCATCTCAAATTCTTCGGACAACTTCTTCTTGAGCTTGTTGATCTCCTGCATGTTTGCTCCAGCCACCAACATGTCATCAATATACAAAAGAAGAATAATGTATGATGATTCGAGTTTCTTCAAGTAACAGCAATAGTCCATCTTGCATCTAGTGTACCCATTCCGCTGCATAAAACTGTCAAACTTCAAGTACCACTGTCTAGGAGTTTGCTTCAGTCCGTATACTCTTCTTGAGTTTGCACACCAACTTCTCCTTACCACTCACTGGGAAACCTACTGGTTGAGCCATGTAAATGTCTTCTTCAAGGTTGCCATGAAGAAAGGCAGTCTTTACATCCAGCTGCTCCAAATGCAAATTTTCAGCAGCAACGATACCAAGGATCAACCTGATAGTAGTCATCTTCACAACCGGAGAGAAGATTTCATTGTAATCAACTCCCTTCTTCTGTTGGAACCCTTTGACAACTAACCTCGCCTTGTATCTTTTGCTTCCATCCGCTTCATCTTTGATTATGAACACCCACTTGTTCTCCAAAACTTTCTTTCCCGGTGGTAGCTTGACTAAGGACCAAGTTTGGTTCTTGTCAAGTGAATCTAACTCATCCTCCATGGCCTTCTTCCACTGTATGGAATCTTTCATAGTCAGCGTCTCTGAGTAAGATTCTGGCTCTCCATTCTCGGTCAGCAACAGGTAATTTGCTGAAGGAGAATATCTGTTAGGAGGTCTTCTGATTCTAGTGGACTGTCTAATGTGTGGAGTAGCTGCCTCTGAACTCCCACCATCTTCATCACTCCCACTATCTTCAGACATTCTTGTATCTCCTGAGCTCCCACTGCTCCCTGAGCCTCCAGTCATCTCATCACAACCAGCAGGTTGTGCTAGGTCGTCTTCAGTCATCCCGTCAAACACCACTTGTTGCTTGTTTTCTGGTTGTTTGTCGTTGCTCGTATCTGCTGCAAGACCATCTTTATATAGGGCATTCTCGTTGAAAGTGACACCTCTACTTCTGATAACCTTCTTGCTGTGGTTGTCCCAGAACCTGTAGCCCATGTCATCCATCCCGTACCCAATAAAAATACACTTCTTTGCCTTTGCCTCGAGCTTGTCACTATCTGCATCTCTAACTTTGACATAAGAAATACAACCAAAAACTTTCAAGTGAGTAAGAGATACCTCTCGACCTTTCCATTCCTCTTCTGGAATTTTGAAACCTATGGGAGATGAGGGTCCTCTGTTGATCAAGTATGCTGTTGTGTTCACCGCATCGGCCCAGAACATCTTTGGAAGTCCTGCATGCAATCTCATGCTCCTGGCCCTCTCATTCAGTGTTCTGTTCATCCTCTCTGCAACACCATTTTGCTGTGGTGTTTCTGGAACCGTCTTCAGCATTCTGATCCCCTGTTCAGCACAATACTCTACAAACTCTGTGCTACTGTACTCACCCCCATTATCACTCTTCAAACACTTAATCTTGAGATTTGTTTCATTCTCAACTGCAGCCTTGAACTTTTTAAAAGTGTTAAAGACATCAGATTTATTCTTAAGAAAATAAACCCATACCTTCCGTGTAGAGTCATCAATGAATGTAACATAGTACCGGGAACCTCCAATCGAAGAGACCTTTGTAGGTCCGTAGACATCTGAATGAATCAACTCCAGCCGCTCAGTCTTGGGTTGTTGTCCTGTCTTCACAAAGGTTACCATCTTTTGCTTGCCTAGAACACATGGCAAACAAAAGCTCAACTTTGAGTTCTTCAAATCTGGGATTTTGCCCTTTGAAGACAGCATCTTCATTCCGTTCTCACTTATGTGCCCGAGTCTTTGGTGCCACAAAGTAGAGACCCCTGTATCTTCAACTGCTGCGTTTGCTCCATCTGTGGACACTTCAACCATGTACAGTGTACCATGCTTCTGTCCACGAGCAATGACCAGCTTTCCCTTCGTCACCTTCCATTGCTTGTTGCCAAAACTAACGTTATGGCCTTCCTCATCAAGTTGTCCCACTGAGATCAACATCTTCTTCAGGTCTGGAATATACCTCACATCTTTCAACCTCCAGGTTGTACCCAAAGTGGTACTGAGATCAACATCCCCAATACCCGTGATCTCCAGGGATTTGTCATCTGCCAAACGAACTCTTCCGTTGTAGGGCCTGAAATTTTTCATCAAATCCCTGTAATGACAAGCATGAAACGACGCACCTGAATCCATGATCCAGGACTCAATTGAATTCTCAACGCTGCAAATTAGAACATCTTCATAGTCCTCTGCCACGTTCACCTCCTTCGTGCCTTTGTCTGCAGAGGCTTTTGGGCACTGATTTATGAAGTGTCCATTCTCCTTGCAATTCCAACAATTGATGTCCTTCCTATTCTTGGATTGACCTCTCTTCCTCGACTTTGATCTTCCCTTCTTGTTACCCCCTCTAGTGGATTTTCTGCCCCTATCTTCAGTACTCAACAAACTGTTGGAGCTATCCCCCGAACTCCTCCTCCGGATATCCTCACCAAGGATTAAGTCACGAATACCTTCAAAGGTAAGCTTAGTGGTTCCAGATGAACTACTAACCGCTGTGACTGTACCGGACCAACTATCGGGCAAAGATGATAACAAAAGTAACGCTTGAACTTCATCATCGAATTTAATCTCAACCGAGCCTAACCTGGATATGATTGAATTAAACTCGTTGATGTTATCTGTCACGGATGCACCTTCCTTCATCCTTGTGTTCACCAACTGTCTGATTAGGAAAACCTTGTTGGCAGCTGAGGGTTTCTCGTACATATTGGATAACGCCTTGAGCAGTCCGAACGTTGTCTTCTCGTTGACGATGTTGTAAGCAACATTTTTCGCCAACGACAACCTCACCACACCAAGAGCCTATCGGTCCAACAGGTTCCACTCCGCCTCCGCCATCGTCTCTGGTTTGTTCTCAGACAAGGGTAGATGAAGCTTTTTCTGGTAGAGATAATCCTCGATCTGCATCTTCCAGAAAGCGAAATCTTGACCATCAAATTTATCGATCTTAACCTTCCCTTCGTCAGCCATAGCTCTGATACCAATTTGTTACGATTAGGCAAAGATAAACGATAAATTAAGAGCAAGAACACAAGAATTTACGTGGTTCACACAATCGGTTTGATTGTGCTAGTCCACGGCGAACGAGAGAGAGGATGTATTATTATCAGCGTCCCAAGAGGTTTACAAGTACATAAGAGTCGTTTAAATAGGTTTAAGAAAACCTAATCAGAGATTAGAGCCGCAGGCCCTAATTAAAATCAAGCCCGTAATTAAAAAACCCGTAGACCCGGTCGG